AAAGGTAAATGTACAAAAGAATTTGTATTAGAATAAAGTTTTTTATAAGCTTTAATGAAATTATTAATTACCCTATCTTTGGATTGATTAATAAATTTAAATGTTTGTGTACTCTTGATTTCATTTATCATAATTGATGCATAAAACCTTTTACAAATAAAGCCAAAATTACAATTAGCTTTATCAGTGGGAACTGTAACATATTTATCTTATATTCTTGAATCTTATTTTTTAATTCATGAAACCATAAATCTGTATGGTATTTCTGTATGGTTAAGTTTCAAAATGTATTCATCAATATTGTTTTCAATAGATTTTAGAATATTTTGCTTAATACATTTTGTGGCAATTGTGTATTTAGATCCTTTTTAAGTATTTCACATAATAGTTTATCTTTTATAATTTCCAAGTTATCAGTAATAAAATGTTTATGAATAGTATCAATAAATAAACTATTTTCACACTCATGAGGTAAATTATTAACTTCATCTATATTTAAATTAGTTAAAATAAACTCTTATAATTGTATAATAGTGCCCTGATTGGAACTTCATATTTATAACTAATGGTAGTTTTTAACTTTTTACAAGGCAAATTATTATTTTTTATAGATTGATGAATAATTTTAGAAATCTGCAAGTCATTGAATACTTTGTTTAATATTAATTACCAAATATGAAGTCTTAATTTGCAGTTTTTCTTTTTCAAAGCTTAATAAATCATTAACTTTTAATCAATATTTTATAATGTCTAAAAGTAAGTGTTTTGCATGATCATTTCGAAAATCAAATTTTTTAATTATTTTAATTAATGCTCTTATTTTAGGAAGACTCAGTTGTTAAATCTTTTTAAAAAATAATTTACATACATTAATACTAGAATAAAAAATATTGTCTAAATTACTACAAAATTCTAAAAAAATCAATCCATTTTAATATATTTTTTCTTTTACCTCTTATTTTCTTACTTTTATGAGAAAAGCTATCTATAAAGAAAAAATGAGCGATACAATAACCGTTACTCAAATTCAGAGCAGTAGAATTATTAAAATCTTGGTTTAATCCATGAGGATATAATGTTTTTAATTTCAAATATAGGAAATCTCTCCTTGAAGTCTATTGGTTTCTTCATTAACAATTTCTAATATAGTTATCTTAACAAAAGTAAAAGGATGAATTCTAAAATGTTTTTAATTTGAGATCTATGCAAGTTTATACATATATGTAATGGATTTGGCCCACATATTCCATATTACACTCAGTACAAGTTAATAGATAAACTACATTATTTACTTTGCAGAATGAATTTGTATGAGTAATAGGATTGAAAGTATTTAGAGCAGGATGTGTGAGACATTGTTTTTAATTACTTCTTATAACATTAGTGGCAATATAATTAATCGACTTGCTAGGCTAAATTACAGTTGACACAATTTGTGTTATTAGTTAAGGCAAGGACACTTAACTGCACTGTCCAGTACACTAGTACATTTTCATGATACAAAATGGATTATCACTGTATGACTGTGTAGTATTGTACCAAATGTCCTGTGTTACTTCCCACAATTTAGCCAAATTGTTTGGTCATCTTTTGACTTTATTAATTTTTTCATAAAATCTACTTATTAAGACCTTTTACAGGCCAACACATATTTATAAGTGTTCCCAGGGTCTCTTTACTATCAAGCAATCATTTAACCAGATTGATGTCTGTTTGCGATCATCCTCTTGCTGACAATATCCAACCAATCAGTCGTGGTGCTGAAAGAGTTCTATGATAGACCAGAATCTTACTGTACTTAGCAGCAGTCTGGATGCCATTAATTTTGTGCAGATCACTGACTGTATTGGCTGAAATGCAGCCTCAAATATGTACTTTTCTCCCACCTTGTTGACCATAAATTTGTAAACTTCCAGATGGTTTTAAACTGTTCAACTTATAAGAGTATGTAATGTTTAATAAAAATTCCTGGAACTACTATCAACTGATTGTAATATCTACTTGTAATAATTTTCAGTTATACAGAATGTATATTAGATAAATACTTTATTTTTTAGGACAAAAAAAATGTTGAACCACCTGAAAAAAAGCAGAAAATTTGGGAAAGAAGTGTTGGGTCTTTATCGTCAGGAAAAAGTGGATTGCAAGGTCTTGTTAAATTAAAAAGTGCTAAGGAATATAAAAGCATTTTGGAAAAGCCAGTTATTAACATGAAGGAAAATAACACTTCAGCTGTAGAGACCAATGGTTTACCATTAGTAAAGTCCAATCCTACTAAACCAACAACTTCATCATCAAGAAAGGAAGTAACTCTAGGTGGGCTTACTCTGCTAGGTGCTTACATAGACAGTGATGCTAGCTCTGATGGAAGTAACTAAAAATTCTCAAGAAATGATGATGTCAGCATGGATGGATTAAGTTCAGCATTAAAATATTATAATACCTGGACCAGCTGAAGCCATTTGAAGGTCTTTAAGCATATTATTATTATAGATATAAATAGTTCCTCAACCACTAGTATGTCAGTCGTATCCTGGCCGATCTAATGAGCCCCGGTATTGGGTAGATGCGTTCCTCGACAGTGGATATGGCAGATATAATGTGGTTGATATATTATTACGTATTCTTCTTTGTTTTCACTCATAAGTTCTTGGATACATGCACTGTAATTTTCATGTCATGTTAATCAGATGGGTGATGCATCCAGCTAAGGTCACTGATGGGTAAATGGTCATTGACCTCTGTATTTAGTATCAGCTGTGTTTTACTGCAAATGATCTGAATGTCTGAAACAGTTTTACCTTATGTGCAAGATGCAAGTTCATTGGAATCAATGTCCATTTGGAGAATTAACAGTTACTGTAACTCTGAATTTACTAAATTTATCTTTGTGAAATTTGGCAGACTTTTAGGAAATGTGAAAAGTTTGTTGTAAATATTAAAAAAAAAACTTAGTTTTTAATAAAGTATATACAGTAAAGATTTTTCTGTAAATTTCTGAAGCATTTATTGAGTCCATCTGAATGCAAGGTAATTTTCATGCTAAGAATAACAATAATTCTTGTCATCTTACAGTTTCATATTTTATTTGCATAACTTCTAGAAGTACCTAAATGAATATCCAAAGTCTTTATTAAGTAAAACATTATACGTTCTCTTATTTTTTCTACCATAACACTAATCATGCCAAAAGTTAAAATATGAAATTAAATCAAAAATACTTTTTTTTTTCAAACCAAAATCGGTGCACATTGTATCAGGCAATTATAATTATTTATTTTATCTGGGTCTCTAAACTTTTCACAACTTTTTTTTTATTATTTAGATTTCTTTTTTTCCTTTTAAAACTACTTTAAAATAAAATAAATCATCCAGTGGGAGTACTGAGAGTTTAGGTTAAACAGTTTCACATTCCAGCACACAATATCCTAACTACATGTGTTACTCAAGAGGAAAAATTTATTAATTTTTACATTATAGTCACATTTTTTAAATATATAAATACCAGCAAGAAATTTAACACTTACTGTAGCTTATAGGCCTACTTGTACTTCAGATCTTTCTTTACTATATTGGTTGTCTAAAAGATAATTCATGTAGCTTTCAAATACACACTTTAAAACACACACAATAATTCCAACAGTAAAACAGCATGCCCTAAAACTACTATATTTTAACCAGCTTTCTACCTGACATATAAATATGTTATTAAAAATTTCATTACTTACTGAAACACTGACTTTAATCTATGCTCAATAAAATCTACTTGGGAATAATGCTTGTACCAAAATATATCAACATAAAGATGTCATAATCACATAATTCACAAAATGGCCTTTTTGTTGATTAATGAATAACAAGATAGCTTGAGTAAGTAATTTAAAAAGCATGAAGAGTTGAGAGGAGCTTCTGTGGTGGGCATAACAAATTTATTAGCATCTTAGAAAATAAAGGAGGCGAAGTACTAATTTTAAATTCTGGCCTGTCAGTACCTAGTTGGTGTTTCTAATTGGTGAACATTCTGAAACCCATATAAGGAAAGAAAGCAAATCTAAAATAGGGAAATCGAACCAGAGAGGTGAAGATTAAGAATGTATTTAATTATTTCCTATGCACATTAATGAATTAAAATTTGAGTTATAATCTACATTTTGATGCCAAATATGACATAAATTGATAATGAAGTTGCTTAAGTTTTGAATGAAACGATGTGAAAGGTTGTGACATAAAAATATATTTCTTTTCATCTTACAATTTTTCATATTTTATTTGCATAACCTCTAAAAGTATCTCAATGAATATCAAACAAAAAGTTTTTAAGTAAAACTTTGTACTCTATTTCTTGTTTTCTGTCTTGTAACACTAATTGTAGCAAAAGTTAAAAATATTAAATGAAATCAAAAATATCTTCTTTTTTTTCATCTATAATTACTTTAGATTCTATCAAACAATTACCTATAATTATTTATCTTTTGGGCTGAGTCCAACTTCCACAAAATATATCACACAGTGCACTTTGAACACCCACCTGCATGCATGAGATTAATTGATGTGCTACTGAAAGTTTTTCTTATTATTTTAACAGTGTTATAATCTTCAGTCCATTGTATAAAACTAGGCTTTACAATAAAACATGGTAGCAGGAATGTTTTTTTTTAATCTTTGAATATACTTTTGATTTCACTATAGTGTGTTAATAATATCAACTACTTATGCCATACTTCAAATGAAAGCTGTAAATATTTGTTGATCTACATGTGAATATGAAAAAAAATAAACACCATCTATGTTTAATTGAAATATGTATATTTTAGAGCAATGTGTAATATGATGTTTTTCTGTAGTTTTGTAACATCTCTTAATAGTTTTGATTTCCAAAATATTGAAAGAGTTTAAGATTCTTTTATCATCAAAATATAGATTAGAGCTTGAATAACATCAATAAACATCCCATGATAGAAATATTTTGACAGGTCAAATAACATGACATAGGTGACGAAGCATAATCTTCTCGCTAAGATACATACCTTTCCAAGCCCTAATAGACTTGCTTTACACTTAAATATAGAAGTGCATTTCAGACATAAGTGTTTTTATAATCTCTGACTCTCCTTTTTATGTTTTACTGCAATTGAGCCTCATATGTAACTGTGTTGATTATGAAGAATTCACATCTTTTCTTCTGTAAATAGTAGTAGAGACCCCCAAAGGCACAGCGGTATTTCTGTAGACTTACAATGCTAGAAACTGGGTTTCAATATCTGTGGTGAGCGGAGCACAGATAGCCCATTGTATAGCTTTGTACTGAAACTACATACAAACAAACTGTAAGCAATAACAAAATATTATACATTTTATCCACTGTGGTTGGAAAAAATTTTTAGTTTGTGTATAGATAGTTCTATACTGAAATATTCAATTCTAGATAAAAGGTAAATGTTTTCAGACTTCAATTTCTGTTGAACTTTATAAGAGATATTTTATGTACCCAGTATGATCCTCCCTTACATGTTGAAATTTTCAATCCATACAGTATCTTCAATAATTTACCATCCTTGTTCAAATCAGGTAGTCTTACCTCTGAAATACTAAAAGCAATGTAGAGAATGTGTCAACTTACCCAGAGTTCTCCAGTCTCACACCTTCCACATGACTTATTGTTCATTCATTAGGAGAATATACATAAGGTCTGCCTTCACCATAATCCAGATTTTCTTGTTAAACTTTACTCCCTTTCGTTTCTGAAGTCAATGTTCTCTCTGTTTTAAATGTTTCTATCAATATTGGAAATTCTGCTACTTCAAAGATCTTACTCATACGGTCTACCTCTAGCATGCAGGAAGATCCTTGTCTGTTTTGTCAACCATTATTGATCAGTATATAACTGTTAATTCAAAATTTTCTGCTAGTGTTCTGTGAATGCTCAATTTTGGAACACCCACCCTCTTTCATTATGACAAACAATACCAATCTTTTGCTCATGCCTATTCACCTTGAGCATATGTGGAGAAGGAATTGTCAGCTAGCAGTAATCCCAAAGAAGATGCTTCTGGTCTAGTTTCTCCTTTTTATTTTCCTCAGGTATGTTCTGTTTTAAATCATGTACCATTTTCTGTCATGTTTAGGGTACTGATGCCTTGTTAAACGAATCTGTTTCTTCCACCTGATATTTGAATCATTTTTGATGCTTTTAGAAATCAACAAAATGTTAAAAACCTTAACATTCTTCATAGTTGTCATGTTGGTGGCCTTTAAGTGGAGTCATCTTTTGCTGCTCTTACTTTCAGATCATTTATTGATTTAGGTTTTTCTGTACCATAATCTATTTTAATTCATTGTCAGTTTGTTTTTCTTTCCCTCGTGGTATGATTTGTTTCATTTTGAGACTTTTTTTTATAGCATAGTTATATTTTAGCTGCTTTCATTTTTTTATTCATTTAGTCAGGATAAATTTCTATATTGTAGTCTTCCATAGCTGTATCTCTTCTTGTTGCCTTATGGGTTTTTTTGTTCCTCTTGACACGTTATCTGCATCATGCTGTGTTGCAAGGTACTCATTTGTCTCTTCACTCAGCTCCAACTTTTCAGCTGATCCCAAAAGAGCTTCTTTCCTACTTCATTTTCTCTTTGCAGGAAATTCACCAACACTAGTTTCCTGTTCAGGAGGAGAACACCCACAGGAGCTGATAAAGGTTTTAGCATTTTGACTTAGTTAAGGTAAATGTTCCTTTGAGATAACCAGAAAGTAACGTTTGTCTTCCTTCTTTGACTCCTTCATGTACTTCTGAGTCAGCATTAGCTACTTTTACTTGATCCTTTCAGTGCTACCAAGTCACCAAACGTAGAAATATTCGAGGTGGGTCTTCTCAGTTTACTCGGTGACTTTATTTTGATGGAATACCCCATCCCAGTTTTGGGGGGTGGGGTTTTCTCGTCTGTGAGATTCATGGTCTTCATATCTTTTCCTTCCAGTCTGGTTGCTTACACATTCTGGATCTAAAAGTCTCAGATATCATTTAGAAAGTCAAAATCACTTATCACGTTTGTTCAGGTGTTTATTTCCATCTCTTTGTGCTTCCAAAGACATAAGGAGATTGGAGACTTGTCTCAACTCACTCTTTACTTAGAGTCATCTCATTTCAAAATGGAAAACATATAGTTGTTAAAGTTTTTTCGTCACTACCATTGGATGAGGCAAGTGGAAAAATGCTTATTTTTATATCCCTATGAATGAAGAGACACGTCTCTGACTATGACTAGGTAATGTCAACTTCATAATGAAGATAGTCACTTATGACTAATTCTGTGATAAAGATCCTAGGGATGAATCTACTGAGAAACTGTAGATCAGTTTGCTTGGTGAACTGCATTTCTATGGGAATGCCATCCAGTTCTGACCAGATCAGGCACGAGAAATAGTAGATCATATGAATAAATATGTTGCAGAAAGAATTCAAGTATCTTCAAATACATGAGAGGTTGAGTGCATTGTCACAGTATAGTGCAGTTATTGAATCAATACATGAAATGCACTGTTTATAGCCAAGACAGCAGTAGCTCAAACAGTTATCTGCACAAGAAATGATTAAGAGTTGTTCTGCAGTTATGGGCAGTCAGCTATTCAGCTTCTTGTAAAATAAAGGTAATCAAGACTTGTGTAACTCCAAGCGTTGTTTTTGCTTCCACATCCAAGGGATATGCAAATATCATATGCGGATGTATTTCCCGACAGTTGTTATGGTTGGGCTGCAAAGAATGGAACAAGACAACATTAAAACATTATTAGACAATACACATCAAAAGATTGTGTGTTTATATATACATAAAAAAAAATGTATAAATAGCAAGAGCGACGAAGACTTTGCTAAATAATATGCTCTTTCTAGTGTATGTGCACCCCCTGTAACTTAGGCTAGTATATAAAGGAGAAGAAATTACAAAAAAGAGTGTCCAAAGTTAAGACGTAACACAGTAAATTAA